TTGGCATCCCAGATTACCGGAGTCCTACACACAAGGTAGAGAAGTTACAAGTAACGAACTCAACGTTATCATAATTGCTGCAGTCGTAGTTGCGAGCTCTGCGGCTCGTCCTGGCAGTAAGACGAAAGTGCGGAGGGGGGGGGGGGGTAGTGAATGATCACCGTCTGGGCTGGGGCTATGTTCGGGCGCCGTCTGGGCTGTCCACCTTAAGGCGAAAGAAAGGGGGTGATGACGGGGTCGGGGGCACCGGAAAGCTGGGTGTGCCACCCTCAGTTCTGTTAGGGTCACCGAGCCACGCGTTGGCCACGCGCTTCCTCCCCTAACTCAGAGCCACTAGAGGTTGAGGGACAACGCGTGGAAAATTGAATACTATGCTTAGCTAATTTACCAGCTCAATCAAACGATGGTAAGTATACGTGTCTACAGACCACCGCATTCTGGTCGTGGGCGGACTGCGGGATCGAACCGCGCGCCCGATCGATGCAGTTAATGATTAATCGGTATACGAGGAACTAGAACAGCTTTTGTGGTGTCCGGTGGATTGTGGTTGGCGTTAACAGGTGTGGGGTGTGGGCGCACCCACCGCCATCCAGACGCGCGCCGTCTTTGCCGCCACGCGCGTGTCTCGGAGCGTCTCGGAGCCCTAGGCCCTGGGGTGCTTCAGGGAGTGGGCCTAACTAAGCACAGACACGTGTCGCCAAAAGCGGTCACGCACCCCGCCGGGCGCGACTGGACTGGGCGGCGCGTGCAGACAGCCCATCGGGCAGCCCATCCACCACGTGGAGGGAGACCCCCCGCCCTCGCCCGCCCTCGCCCCTCCCGGGCCGGTCCAGACAACAACACACGCTCACTCTCTGGCTCGCCACCACTGGGCCTTCCGGCCAACACCAACCGGCCACAATTTCATTCACTGACACGTCGTGAAGTGCGGGGGAGTTTCTGGAAACTTTGTTTAAATTATACTCTGCGATACCTGGAACTGTCTAAAGATGGGTGGGGAAGAAAGCGTGCACAATCTAGACGGATAAGGACATTTTTCGTCCATTCGTAAGAAGCAAACAACAATTCGGATAGTTTATAATTTTGTTCTGCGGATGCATTTGTCACTCTTTGAATTGAATACTTGTATCTTGTGAAATGTGTTCTCGAAGGTGCGCCTTGCAGCGTACATAAAGTCCTGCTTGTCATTTAGAGTGTAGGACGAGGGCCGGTGCTCTGATGGCAATGTTGTGCAGATAAAAAAATGCTATGCCTGCTGATGCTATGCTGACGCACACCAGCGTGAAAAAAATACCGCCTGTCCCTAGGACTAAACTAAAACCTCGAATGTCAAAATTACACGTCCCCACCCAATTTTCCTACTCCACTTTTTCTAACCTAACAATGTCCTAAACTCGTTATTCCTAAATTTCGAATTCCTAATTTCCTTTTCCTATTTTCCAATTTACCTATTCCAGTTCTTCTAACATAGGTGTCGATGGCGTGGCTCACATCCCGAAGGTACACTGTAAAACACGAGGGGGTATCCACTCAGGTAAAAAAGTCGGGTCAGTCGTTCGGTAATTGTTTTGGTAACACAGGTGATAGTCA